ACCTTTTAATCATACAGCATGTAGTCGTAGGAGTCTGACTTTTTTTTTCTACTTGCCATAATGCTTTTGCAATTCATGACTGGGTGCTTTCTTATTATTTCATTTCCCCTCTGTGGTAGCTTGGAAAGGATACACTCTATTATTATCTTTGAGTGATAACTGTTGGGAGACAGTTCTCTCTGGGTCTTGCGGGTGTCTGTGCACCTCGCTGGCAGTCGCTGATTACCTTTGCTCCAGGCTGCCTTTGCAAGGATGTTTGTCTGTCCACAGCTTTGGAAGACAGAGATAGGGCCTCTAGGGCAGAGGGTGGGTTTGCTTACTCTCCTGAGTCTTCCTCCAGAGCACAGCTTCCACAGATTTGCTTATTGACAATTATAAAAGATTCAAGTTCCCTGCACTCAGGGTTTTTCTCTTCTAATGCAACATGAGCAGGTGTCACCTGACCCTCTTCATGTCACCCTGCGAGAACTGGATCCCAGGGAATTGGCACCGATGCTGATACTCTGGCTGCTGCTATTGCTGTGAGTAATAAATTGCCCTTTGTCTTTGATCCAGGAATCTTATGTCTCCTGCCAGCATCCATGAAACTGTGTCAGGCTAACTTGTTAGTTTGCAACTAGGGCAAAATCTGAAACCCTTCACAGTTCTTGATAGAACTCTAGAGATTGTAACACACATCCTTGGCCCTACTGAAGTATAATTGGTACTCTGGAATCTTCCAGAACCATAATCAGGTCTTAGAACCTTTTAACTGCATTTTCCCCCTCCAGGCCTCTATACCATATACTGTTTTTTTAATTAATACTTTTATTTTAAACCCAACAAGACATTATACTATCAGTATTCATTTAGATTTGTCCACACATTTACCGTGTTTTTGGTAGTTCATGTTTTTTCTGTATCTTTATATTTGATCATCCATCTCGGACTAGGTTCCTTCTATTTGATTAAAATACTTTTATATTTCCTTTTGTTTAGTTCTACTAATGACAGTCAGTTTCCCTCTCTCTTTTTGACTAGTGAAATGTTTTCATTTCAGCTTCTTGCTTGTAGGGAGTTTTTTGCTGGGTATAGAGTTCTCTTTGGTATTTACTTATTTATTTTTTTAGCTCTTTAAGGATGTGATTCCATGATCTCTGACTTCCATTGTTGACACTCCAGCTGTCAGTATAAATGGTTGTCCTTTGAAGATGACCTTTTCCCCTCTGCTATCGTTCATATTTTCTCTTTGGATTTTGTTTTCAGCAGTTGTAATGGTGCACATGTGTCAGTTATGGCTGGGTTATAATATGTGCGCCAGTATGTGCCATTCTTTGTTATTGCTGTGTAACAAACTACCCCAAAACTTGGTGCTTGAGAATGACATCAGTCATTTAGCTCACAAATCCGTGATTTGGGTGGAGCTCAGGGAGAAAGGCTCACTGCTGTTCCATATGACATTAGCTCGTGTCAGGTGGCTTCACTGCAAGATCCATTCTTTGAATGACTCACTCGCAACTGGCAAGTTGGTATGGACTGTTGGCTGGAAGTTTGTCCAGGACTAAATGTCCAGGCCCAACAATCATTTCCATGGGCACGTCAGGTTCCCTATGGATGACGTCTGGATCCCAAGAGTAAAGAGATAGAAGCTTCCAAACCCTTAAGGCCTTGGTCCCGAAACTAGGACAGTATCTCATCTGTCATATTCTGTTGGGAAAGCAATTACTGAGCCAAAGTAAAGAGTAAAGGGATGAGCCCTGGCTGGTGTGGCTCAGTGGATTGAGCACCGGCCTGTGAACCAAAGGGTAACCGGTTTGATTCCCAGTCAGGACATATGCCTGGGTTGCAGGCCAGGTCCCCAGTAGAGGGTGTGCATGATGCAACCACACATTGATGTTTCTCTCCCTCTTTCTCCTTTTCCCTTCTCTAAAAAAAAAAAATTTTAAAGACCTTCCTTTAAAAAAAAAAAAAAGGGTAAAGGCATGTAAATTCCCTCCTAAGCGGAAAAGTTTCAGAGAATTCCAGGCCGTGTTTTAGAACGCCTACGAGGTCCTTAAATGTGGATTTCTTTCCCTCTCTGTATCCTTTCCCCACTTCCTCTTCTTCTCTTCTTTTTGGTGGAGGAGGGCTCAGAAGGTATTTTAAATCAATGGTTTCATCAGTTTTGGTAAGTTCACCATTATTAACTCTTCACATACAGCTTCTGTCCAGTCCTTTTTCTGTTCTGTTTTTTGACTGTACTTATATGTATGTTAGATCTTTTCATTACATATTCTATGCCTTTTATCTACTTTCCTGTATTCTACCAGCCTTTGTCTCTCCATGCTTTATTTTGTTCACTCTCTTCGACCTATTTCCTGTTCACTCTTCAGCATTTTCTAATTTGTCATTATACCTGTCCATTTTCATCATTTTGACAATTCTGTTTTTTAATTCTGTAATTTCCACTTGGTTATATTTTTTTATAGTTTAAAGTTCTTTGCCAAAATTGCAAATCTTCTATTTTATCCTGAAATATTATCACAGTTATTTTAAAGCCTGTGTCAGGTAACTTTAATACTTGCAGTCCCTCCCTTACACGCCGATTTCTGTTGGTTTTCTTCTGTGCTGACGCGCCCCTCACGGGCCAGGTGAGGTCTGATTGTGTTCTGGACTTGGGATTTGCAACAGTACTTGTAGAATCATTCGAAGTCTAGTTCTATGTTTCCTTCGTGTTTGCTCTCCCAGGTACCTGGGAACACACTCACTTGGGAAAACCCCAGTCCACTTTCTGGAGCTGAGATTATCTGGGGCTGAGCCGCAGTCCTCGGGAGGGTCTGTTTGCTTGTGGCCCGCCCTTAATTCCTGGCGTGAAAACTTTTGGGATCCCAACCCATGGGAAGAGGCAGTCATCGGGGCTCTCTCCTTGTAGACCCCTGGCCTCCGGTCCCTGTCCCCTGAGCCTGTGAGGTTGTTCCTGCCACTGCTTGTCCCTCCAGCCTCTTGAGTGACAGGAGCCAAAACACCAGGCTCACTTCCTGCGCTCCCGTAGTGCCTGGCTGCGCATCACTGTCTGACCAGGTGTCCTGCACTGCACACAGGTGCTTTCTATATTTTGTCCGTATTCCTGGTTGTCTCCCGCCGGTGGCCTGCGCTGCATTCCCTAATCTGCCTGGAGCGGGAGTGGACGTCCTCAGAGAGGCCCCATTTCCTTTTGGGTCATCCCGTCAGCGTTCAAAGCCAGATCCCACACTCCGCGTTAGCTGCCTTTGTTCACCCCTCTGCAGAAAACTCCGTGTGGTCTGTATGTGCTGCCTCCAACTCCTCACCTGCCCTTCCTTCTGAAACCCATCCTCATCAGGCTTCAGCTCCCACGCTCTACCCAAAGTACTCTTGCCCAGGTCATGTGTGCCTCAGCGATGCCACAGCCAGGGACAAGTTCTAGTTGTCATTCTGTGTGATGTGGCAGCAGCATTGAGGTGAGCACTCCGATGTGGAGAGGTTGGTGACGTGAAGCAAAAACCGGCCGAGGAAAGCGAGGAACGGCCCCCTTCCCTGCTTTGTTTTCTCTGTCGCACTTCTTACCGCATAGTCCGTCTCACCCGCTTCTTTTTTTTGATTTTTCCCTCGCGCGTTTTGCTGGCCTCCACCAGGAGAACAGGCTCCCGAGGGGAGGGCACGTCGGCTGTCTCGTTCCTTCGCTCACCTCCACTTAGAACGGTGTCGTGTGCAGGGCGGGCCCTCACTTGGTGCTTGCTCAGCGGTTGCCCGCTCTGCTCTCGGGAAGCACGGGCTGGCCCTGCCCTGCCACCGGGTCGGCGGGCCGGCTGCGGTGCGTGTAGAGGTGCGTGGGGAAGAACCCGCTGTGCTGAAATCCCGGTCAGAACCCCAAGCAGCCGTCATCCACACGTAATTATTTCAGTTTTTAAAGTGTCTCTACGTTATGGTCTGGGCTGATCCTGATAGCGCCTCTGTGAGGCAGGCGGGACAGACGCGGCCAGTCTAGCGTTTCAGGGGGCTCCCAGGGGAACGAGCAGCCCCATGTCCACACAGCAGCCTCCGCAGGGGGCCCTGGGCTCCAACTTGCTTTAAAAATGAACAAAGCTTTTTTCCCTGATTATAAAAATAATATTAACTCCTTGTAGGAAATTTAGAAACTACAGAAGTGGATAAGGGAGAACATTGACATTTATATACTACTGTGCCCATTTTGACATATTTCCTTTCTTAAAAAGACATATTTCCTGTTTTTTCTAAAAATATAGTTTAGATCATATATCATACAAAATTTGTATCCTGCTTTTGAATTTAACATTACAAAATAACTTTTCCCTGTTTTTAAATTAAATTCCTTTTTTAAAATTTTTAAAAATATATTTATTTTCAGAGAGTGGGGCAGGGAGAGAGAAAGGGAGAAAAACATTGATGTGAGAGAGAAACAGTGATCAGTTGCCTCTCGTATGTACCCTGACTAGAGACCGAACCCACAACCCAGGAATTTGCCTTGACCGGGAATCGAACTGGCGAGCTTTCACTTTGCAGGACAATTTGCCCAACCAACTGAGCCACACCAATCAGAGCTCCCTGCTTTTTTAATATCTATCTTTTGTGGCTTCATGATGTTCCACCACAGATGTGCCACAGTTTATGTAATATTCCACTGCTGGACATTTAGGTTAAACAGCGTATTTACTGCCCGATGTGGGCAAGGGGCTGGGGATTTGTGGCTGGGGCTCCCAGATGTGACCGTCGAATTAGATAGTGGGTATGACAGGGTTGGGGTAAAATAAAATCTAAAAGCACCACATGATGATATATAAAAAATGAGAAAAAGGAAATCTTTTTAAATAAAAAGTTCCAACTGTGTTCAGGTGTGCGCGTGTGCGTGTCAGGGAGGGGAGCCCGGCTGGGGTGGGCCGTGCACGCCCGGAGTCAGGCCGTGGCCTTTCTCTAGGGGCCCGAAACCCCCCCACTCCGGCAGAGGTTGGGCCGTGGCCCCTGGTGGCTCACTTCCGTTCCCCTCCTTGGTCCCCATTCCTCAGGCTCTTCCAGCTGGAGACGGAGGCCGACGCCCTCATGAACTTCCAGCAGTTTTCGTCCCAGCTGCCGCCCTTTTACGAGAGCACCGTGCATGTCCTGCAGGTCGAGGTCCTGCAGCAGCTGACCGACCTCATCCGCAGCCACCCCAGCTGGTCGGTGGCCCACTTGGCGGTGGAGTTGGGCATCCGAGAGTGCTTCCGCCACAGCCGCATCATCAGGTGGGCGGAGACCTTGCCGGGTAGGGCAGGAGGGCAGGGCCCTTGGGACAGTGGGTGGGGCCGGGGGGCCTTAGGGAATCCCGCCTCAGTTCCCTTCTGTAAACTCAAAAGGATTTTTGACTGACAGAGGGGCAACGTCGCCTGCGAGTTAGGGTGCAGGGGTGCTGACCAAAGCTGAAGGGAAAAATGTCGCCTGGCTGGAGCGCCTACCAGGTGCTAGACCCATGGTAGCTGTTTTATACCCACCATGAACCTGAATCCTCCAACACCCACACGAAGTATCGCCATCCCAATGGGAGGCCATGTGACTCGTGCAGGATTGCTCAGCTGGAGTGGGCTGAGGAGGCTTCGGATCCTTAGTGTCTCCTTCCGAGCGTCTGGTTGCCCCTCTGGGACCTGGAACACCTGCTCTCAGACATCCACTCAGCCAGCATGTGGAGCAGCAGGTGCCCTGGTGAAGGTCCCTGCCGGTCACAGTCCTGTCTGGAGGTGGCCACGGCTCCTTTGGTCCTCCTCCTGGACGGCTCTGTTCAGCTCCCAGGGCCAGAGCTCAAAACCCCTGGCCGCCCTTTCAGTGGAGATGCCTGTTCCCCGACATTGTGGTATTTCATCTCAGAACGGCCTGACCAGTTCCCGGCGCAGGCGCGGCAGGGGTTGTTTTGATTTTTTAGTACATAAAGATATTGAAGCCCAGAAAGATTAAGCGAACTGCCCAGCGTTAGTGAGATTTCTGCCTTCTGTGACCCTTTCGGTGCCACCCCACTGCCCACCTCAGGCTGGTGTGGCCCTGGGGCACACCTTCCCAACGGGGGCCACCGGGATGAAAAGCAGGTGCAAAGCACCTGAGATACAAATAAACTGTGACTCAGCCCAAAGTCGGAACAGCCAGCTCGAGCAGCCAGCTCGAGCGTGGCACGCGCGCTCTTGAGCGCCTCGCCCACTTCCCTCCTCCGCACGGGATTCCCGGTGCCCCGCTGCCCCCCCCCCTCGCCCCCGTGCCCTGCGCACTCACCTGCCTGTGCTCCTCCCCGCAGTTGCGCCAACAGCAGAGAGGATGAGCTGGGCTGCACGCCCCTGCACCTGGCCTGCCGCAGGGGCGACGTGGAGGTCCTGGTGGAGCTGGTGCAGTACTGCCGGGCCCAGGTGGACGTCACCGACAACAACGGAGAGACCGCCTTCCATTACGCTGTCCAGGGTGACAGTTCCCAGGTGCTGCAGGTGAGCAGGGAGGGGCAGGGCAACCAGGACCCACGACACCGCTCTGTGCCCACCGCCGTCTTTGGGATCAGGTGACACTCTAGGCCTCTCACTGTCCCTCCTTGATCCTTATGGCCTGAGCTCCTTTGTGGAGGGTGCTCCCCCCACTCCACTCTCCCCTCCCCGCGTGTGTCAAGGAGGCACATCCTTGGCCAGTTGGTTCCGTCAGCCCTGGGAAGGACCCCCAACGCGGCAAACAGACTCAAGGCCCAGTCCAGCCAGTAGGTCGAGTTCAGCTCTTCCCTAGCACCTACCGTCAGTCGGACCCCTGAGCGTTTGTGGCCTGAGGGGACCTGAGCCTAACTCCTTACAGGGTTGCCAACAAGACAGAACGCCAAATGGCTCCTCTGGGCATGTGGACCAGAGGCACCCCTGTCCAAACTTTGATTAGCTGGGCAGAAAAATAAAAGTGAGAATTTTGAGTGGGTAAATGTAATGATGTTCTTGAAAGGCTACTTTAGATTTTTTAAACTTTTTAATTTTTTTAGAGAGAGGGGAAGGGAGGGAGAAATAGAGGGAGAGAAACATCAATGTGTTGTTGCCTCCTATACACCCCTTACTGGGGACCCAGCCCACAACCCAGGCCTGTGCCCTGGCTGGGAATCCAACCAGCACCCTTTGTTTCTCACAGGCTGGTACTGAGCCATACCAGTCAGGGCGGGACAATATTTTATTGCCTAAAATTAGAAGATTCCTCCAAAGGTTACATGCTTGTCTCTGCCTTGGCATCAGAATGGAGCTACATTATTGCAGAAAATCGGGATTTGTGCCTATGATTGGTGCTCCCTGGGGCGGGAGGTCCTCGCAGCTGCTGAGCTCCACCCTTACTGAGAACCGCTGGGTGCCCAGCATGGGGCCACATGCGTCTTGCCTCGGGCAGAGGCCAAGCACCCTCACCAGCAGTCACGTACAGCTGTGCCTGTCTCTTATCACGTGCTCGCCTGCTGCCTGGCCCTGTCCTGAGTGTTGTGTGTGTTCCAGTTAATTCTCAGAATACCCTCTGTGGGTGGGCGTCGTCATCCGCCTGCCTTGCTAAAGAAACAGGCTCAGTGACGTTAAGGAATTGGCTTAGAGAGGGCCACAGAGCTGCGAGCGGGGCCAGCCTGTGTCCTCAGGCTGCTGACATACCCTGCTGGTCATACGGTTACACAGGGGTCGCAATTAACCTCAAGGACATAGCATTCAGCCATAAGAGAGGAAGTAAAAGCCTCCCGACTTGCTTTTTAATACTGGTATTTTTTTAACTGGAAAAATAATATCTACATATATCAAAACACATTTAAGTGGGACAGAAGGATATACAGTGAAGAGCAAGAAACACTGCCCGCCCCCACCCCAGACCCCCAGTGCCCATCCCTAGACGCAGCCTCATTTTCAGTTTCTTTATTCAGAAATTGTCCTCCGTGCCACAGTCATGCCAACACTGGCTCAGTGAGCCCCCTTTCCCCCCAGGGCCTCCCTTCTCTGTTGCTTCTCTTGCTCTTGCGGAGTCCAGGCCCCTTCCCCCAAGTCCCCAGAGAGACACTGCCCCTGGGGGCGGGGGGGGCGGGGGGGGAGGGTGCTAGGAGAGGGGTGCGCAGGGGCTTCCCCAGGTCACACTCCAGTGCGCCTGCTCTTGTGCTGGCAGCTCCTAGGGAAGAATGCATCGGCCGGCCTGAACCAGGCGAATAACCAAGGGCTGACCCCGCTGCACCTGGCCTGCCAGATGGGGAAGCAGGAGATGGTGCACGTGCTGCTGCTGTACAATGCGCGCTGTAACATCATGGGGCCCCGTGGCTGCCCCATCCACACGGCCATGAAGTTCTCCCAGAAGGGGTAAGGCCTCGCTCCCACTCACGCCCCTGCCCCCGCGCCCCTCGGGTGCTGGGCCTCCGCTCTCCCTCACCTGTCCTGACCGGCGACCTCTACAGGCTCATCAGATGCGCATGAGATTCTGGTGCCAAAGGCTGACCTGGCACGCAGAAACATGCAGGGACGTGACTGTCAGTCCATGAACTCCACTGTGCAAAGAATAAAACATAAAATTGCTCTCTGATGCACCTTCATTTCTGACTGTAAACCCCCCTCCCAAACTGGGGAAAAACTATCTTAATCTCCCCTAAAGGCACCCTTCCCCAAGTGGTGGTCTAGTGCCAGAATTTCATGCAACCCCAAGACGCAGAGGGGTCCACTGACCGGGGTCCTCTGCCCCGCAAGCGCACGAGCCTGGCCTGGACCTGCCGTGCTGCGGGGCGCACGGCTCCTTTGCGTGGCTCAAAGCCCAGGAACGGTCGTCAGGGAGGCTCAGGGCTCCATCTGCCTAGGTGAATTTGTGCTTCCTGGTTGGTGGCGCTATGGGGACACAGGTCCCAGGCCCCTGTCTTAGGGAGCCCCAGAACACTCTTTCATTTCTTCCCTTCTCCCAGACCTGGGAAACCCTCATCTTAGGAAACCTCTATTCCATGTGGTATGTGTGTGTGGCAGGTATGAGGGGAGCGGATACAAGAGATAAGTATCTCAAAATATCTAGCAAGTACAATATCTAGAATGAATGATTGAATGAATGAATGACTCGGTGAGTCAGTCCCTCAGCCCCAGGCAGGCGCTATGCTAAGTGCTGGCCTTACAGGGATGGAGAATAGAACAGCCCCGGGACAGGAGACACGGAAGCCACCCCGGACCTTCCAGTGCTGAGCGCACGGAGAGCCCCCACTCAGGTCGGGGGCAGGCGCTCGCCCTCCCTTAGGTTTTTTCCTTCCTCTGGGGACCCAGCTGGCCCCCTGGGGCATTGCTATCCCCTTGAAGGTCTGGTCCAAGCTTGGACAAACCCTCCTTTCCTTTATTATCTCTAGCACAGCCAAGGTGAGCTAGAAGTTTAAGGAAGACTTGACCAAATGGTTGGGGACAGTCCCAGCGCTCTCACCCCCAGTAGTCCGGTTCCGTGGTAGCAGGGCACAATCCGAGTGGACACAGTGATGGCCATGCTCTCCTCTCCCTGGTGGCTGGCATGGTGGCCCTGTTCCTGCATGGCTTCAGCCACCCTACGGTTTCACTCACCTGCTCAGTCCACGTTACTTCTAGAACCCTGGTGTTATCCAGGTTGCCCCGTCTTCAGATACCCTCGTCCATGTCCCCCCCCCGCCCCACCCAGGCCTCCCCGTGGGGCCGGCACAGAGCACAGGGGATCGTTGCACGATGACGCGAGTTGCGCCTCACTGCCGCGCGCACAGCGCGCCCCTCAGGCCGGGCGGGCTGCCCGCCTCCCCGTGGTGGCCGGCGCAGCGGGCCTCCGAGGATCCCTGGCGCTGGCATTGCCACGGTGCTTCTGTCCCAGCTCCCACCTGGGAGCCCCTGTGCTGTCTGGTGACCTTCCCGGGACTCTAGTTTCACTTAGCGTAATGTCTTTAAGATCTAGCAATGTCAGAGCATGGACCGGAATTTCCTGCCTTTTTAAGGCAAAATAATGCTCCGTTGGCTGTACCTCATTTTGCTTCTCTGGTCATCTGTCGGTGGACACTTGGGTGGCTTCCACCTTTTGGCTGTTGTAGGTAGAGACACAGTAAACAGTGGGTACTGTTAGAGCCCCTGCTTTCAGGGGGTCGGGGGATGGGGGGGCAGCTGTCTACCAGGCCCAGAGCCAGGTGCTGAAATACCTTGTCTCCTTTATTTCCCACCCAGTCCTGTTGGGACGGTCTCCATCTTGCAGCTGGGCTAAGTCACTTTCCGGAGGTCACCAGGGAAGAAGCTGGGGCTTGACCTCAAGGCCATCTGACTCTAAAGCCAGTGACTCTCACCAGTGAGAGTAATCATTGCTGATTACAGTTATCAGGGAAGGCTTCCTGGGGGAAGGGGCTTGAGCTGTGCCTTGAGAGGCTCGTGATACCCTAGACATGCCATGATATTCACGCTGGTTGGTTTCATTGCAACCTTATTTGCTGAAACTCTCCCTGACCAGTGGGTGAAGCCCTCAGTCATGACCTCCCCTGGCTGCAGGCTGCCTCCGGCCTTCCTCACCTTCCCGGGCCCCTCTCCCCGCAGGTGTGCTGAAATGATCATCAACATGGACAGCAGTCAGGTCCACAGCAAAGACCCACGCTATGGAGCCAGCCCCCTCCACTGGGCCAAGAACGCAGAGGTAGGTGGAGTCCAGGGACGGTGGGTGGGCAGGGGGCGGGTCCCTGAGCCCTTCTTTCTTAGCTGCCTGAGGAAGGAGGTCCCTGAGGGAACCCTGAGTATGGAATGGCCCTTGGGAGGCTGATCTCGCAGTGGGCCCCCAGACAGACAAGCCTAAGGACCGATGACACCCTGGCGTTGCTCTGCTGCTCACAGGCGCGCTGACAGTGTCCCCTCTGTGGTTTTTTCCTGTGTGAATTGGGTGTCCGAATTCTGCCTCTGGAGGTGTGAGGTCAGCAAGGGGGCGCAGGAGGAAATTCTTTGTAAATTGTCAAGCGCCTCATAAACAGGCCGAGGTTGATGGTGACTTGGCCGCTGGCTCCAGCATCTCCTCTGCGCCCCCCGCCCCCGCCCCCCCGGGCGGACGGAGGGTCCTGGCCTCTCACCTCGGGAGCACGGCTCGCAGCGCACTGGATGGCCCCGAGGTCCCAGCCCATTCCTCACTGTGATGGGCCAGGAAGCGGAGGTTTCAGCCTCTGCAGGGCACCGCCTCCATGCCAGGAGCTGGCTGCCGAGTCGGGCCCTTTTGTGTATGTTTTGTCATTCGCTGTCCCCACCTCGGCGAGGTGGGGACTTGCATTCCCATTTCACAGCAGAGAAAACAGGTGTGGAGGGGCGCAGCGACCCACCCAGGCTCAGGCAGCTGGGATGGAGCGGAGCTGCTCCAGCGTCTCAGACCCGTAGTCGAGGCTCCTCCCCTCGGGGCTGCGGGGTGAGCAGGGATGTGTGTTGCCAAGTCCCGAGGAGGGACCCTACCTTTGCAGGGTCTCAGGGAGGGCGACGAGGAGTGGGGCTGTTCTGGGACAGGGTCCAGAGGGACCTTTGCAGGGAGGCCTGGGGTCCTGTGAGCTCCAGAGAAGGCCGTGGAAGCTCCTTAAAGCAGTCGGCACATCTTTAGCTTTTTGTCCCCTGGTTCCTGGGGTGCTGATGGTATGGGAGCCAAGGTCTGGAGCCACCGCAGAGCCAGGGCCTGCTGCCTGGGCCCCGCCGCCTGCGCCCCTTCTGTTCCTGGGGCTTTTCCCCCGAGGGAGCAAGTGGCAGTGCCCGAGAGTGGCCAGGGGCCGCGGGAGGGCCTCGCTGAGTTGGGCCTGGACCCTGTCTCCCACAGATGGCCCGCCTGCTGTTGAAACGAGGCTGCGACGTGAACAGCACCAGCTCTGCGGGCAACACTGCTCTGCACGTGGCGGTGATGCGCAACCGCTTCGACTGCGTCATGGTGCTGCTGACCCACGGGGCTAACGCCAATGCCCGCGGAGAGCATGGCAACACGCCGCTGCACCTGGCCATGTCGGTGAGCCGCGCGGCAGGGGTGGTGGGGCGCGCCTCCTGCCTCGCGCCCCGCGCCCCTCCACCCGCACTTCCCAGCCTGGCGCGTGATATGAGAGGGGAAGGTACAGCTGTGGCTACTGACTGTGGCCCCGGGCAACTCATGTCACTTCTGTCAGCCTTGGTGTCCTCCTCTGAGAAATGGAGATGTCGGTACCTACCTGGCAGAGTGGCCGAGGGGTCAGTGGCAGGCGCTTGGTAGCCAAGAGGAACGTCTAAGTGACACATGCAGGGCCTGGTGTGGAGGGAGCATCCCACAGGTGTTAGTCCTCCTTCCCTTTGTTACTGGGGACCGATGTCCCTCTGCATGCTGTTCTCATCTCCTCTAACCTCCTGGAAGGCGGGGCCTGCTTCCACGTCTGGGTGGCCCATGGCTGGTGCCGGTCCCTTTTGTTGGTGTATTGCAGACCGTAGGTCCTGCCCTTAAAGGCCCTGCAGCCTGCTCAGACACCTGCAGTATGAACATGCTGCACGCAGCGAGGGAGTGTTATTGGTACAGACACACGTCTCTGTGTGTGTGTGTGTGTGTGTACCTACGGCAATACTACATGCACGGAGGTCTGTTTAGTAAATCTTGGTGTGATGGAAGAGGAGAGACCCCTGGGACCCTAAAAGAAGTCGATTTAGAACAAATTCAAAGACATCCTGTTTTATACCAAAAGTCACGACTGTGGAGCAGTGTTGCTCAAGAGGCTGAAATTTATAAATAAAACCATGGGCATTTTCAGTATTAAATGGGCCCTTGGAATTATCCTGCTCAGCAGTTCTCAAACATCTCGGCCTGTTTGGTACCTTTATACTCTTAAAAGTTATTGAGGATCCCAAAGACTTTTTAATATGAATTTTAGCTGTCTGTATTTTTTTATAATGTTAGAAATTAAAAGTGAGACATTTTCAAGACTCATTAGTTCATTAAATAACCATAATTTGCCCATCCCACACTAATATAAATAATATTTTTATGAAGAACAACTTTTTCCCCCCTAAAACAAAAATAACTGACAGAAGAAATGGCATTGTTTTCCGTTTTTGTGAGTCTTTTGAATGCCTCGCTTCAGAGGAGGCATGAATTCCCCTGTCTCCTGCTGCATTCGTCCTGTTGCGGTACGATGTCAGATATGTAGAAGAACGTGAAGAAAGTCTGGCCTCACAGAGATATGTAGTTGGAAAGGCGTGTAGCTTCACCTTTCCAGATGACGGTGGATATTATCCAATCCTGCACCAAAACCTGACGGGGGAGCCGCTGGCAGGCAGGTTGCAGTGAGCACCCCGACCCATCTCTGCGCGCTTGGCGCTCATCACCACCCGCGGGCATCTCTTGCCCTTCGCACAGACCTCTCGCCCGCACACGGTGCCGTGTCATCCCTGGGAAACAGCGGCTCGCTGAGTATGCGCAGCGTCCAAAAACGTTGGCCCATTTCATGATGAAAAGCCCACATGTGTAAACATCACCATCTCTCTCATCAGAGAAGTCTTTAAACTTCAGGAGCCGCCAGGCACATCCTGGCGTACTCAGGTTTTCCGGAACGCCAGAATTCGTTTCAAAGCTTACATTTTATCATTGGCGCAAAACACTGCCAGATGTTTTTCTCGAGGTGACAGGCTCGCTGCTTTCATTTTAGAGAGTTTCCTCCATCCCCAAGGCTGAACAGTCGTAGTTTGGCTGTCCGTCCTTCTTTTCATGGCAAGCGGTGTTCTGTGAACACAAGCAGCTAGTTCTGCTCGCAGCTGACACCACCATAGAAGTGCGTTTCCTCAGGACACCTCGTACTTCGTTAGGGCCGTAGAAGTGTCTTACCCACTCTCCATTGTAGGACGGCGTACACGGGCGTTGAAGTCTAATAGAACTATTCTTACTGCTTCGTCAAGGGCATTCTGAAGAGAGATGGGCTGGGTAATTACATTTTCTTGACTGCGAGCACATGGCAGAGAGAAAGCATGAGGACAGGTCATTTGGTGCTGTGGCCTGGCTCTGTGCCACAGCGCCAGCTGTGTCCCCGCCGTTGTCCTCACACCATCAGTGGGAAAGTCAGCACAGCGCAGAGGCAGACATCTTGGTACTTTTTAGGAGAACAGTCTTACCCTCCCGAACCTGCTAAAAGGGTCTCACGCCTGCACGGGGGTCCACAGGTCTTACTTTGGGAACTGCTGACGGGCTCCATTGTTTCCCAGGCTTCAGCCCCTTGCAGTCCGGTCTTCACAGGTCTTGGCACACTCACGAACCACTCTTACACTGAGGTACTTAACCATCTCTTTGAGTTGGCTTGCTTTTAAATTTATTTTGAACGAGTGTTATGTCATGACCGTAACGTGGTCAAACCAGTGCCACAAATAAAAGGTAGCCAAAAAAAGAACTGCATCACTAATGTTTCAAACACACCTGTTTACCTGTGCCCATATAAATCCTCACGGGACGTGAACAGCTGTTTGAACAAGTGCCTTCTACACACACCTCTTTGTTCTCTGGGCAAGGCAGTCAGTTGGGCCCTGAGAAGATGGAGGTAATTAGACCAGAGCACTGGCTTCCCAGCTGCCAGTCTTCGGGTGGGTTCTGGGAAACCAGGCCACGTCCCACCCCCGCCCACGTCCAGACGGTAAGTGCGGAGCCCTGTGTGCAGGGAGGCTGCACATGAAAGCAGCCATCAGTGTGCCCGGTTACCCCTCAGAACTGGTCCTCTGGCCCAGGTGGGGAAACAGCTTTCCCTTTCCTTGCAATCAGCAGCTGACCCTTCAGTGTCCCCATGGCTCCGGGCCGAGGATCATAGATGTATTGCTTCCTTGAGGAGCAGCTGGCGAGGCTGGAGGCTGGATGAGTCACTTCCAGCTTCTGCCTGGGTTTTGCAGCCCTCACCTGGGGACACCGAGCCTGCTTGTCTGGGCACCGGCCTTCAGGTTATAGACTTTAGAATGTCAGAGCAGTGGGGCAGGAAATCAAAGGTCCCCGTGTCCTTTCCCATGCTGAGGTCCAGCAAGCGAGAGGCCCCCGAGTTGGTGGGTAGGGTGGAAGAGGCTGGGGTCCCTTTTCTCTTCATTTTCCTGAGCTGTTGCATATTCCCCCCCCCGCCGCCCCCCGCCTCTATCCCCAACAGAAAGACAACGTGGAGATGGTCAAGGCCCTCATTGTGTTTGGGGCAGAGGTGGACACCCCAAACGACGCTGGGGAGACTCCTGCGTTCATAGCCTCCAAGACCAGCAAACGTACGTGCTCATCGCCCTGGGTCCAGAACTAGGCAGGGAGGGGTGGGGAGCTGGGACTGTGGAGGGGGAGACCCAGGTCTCAGGCGCCAGCATCTTGTTTGCACCACCTCCAGCGGCTCCCTGCACAGGGTCTCTAGGAGCACCTGGGAGGCTCAGACAGAATGCACCCTTTTCCCAAGAACTGGGGCCCAGACCAGTAGATGGAGCCTGCCAAGGGGCCTCCTTAGCCAGCACCCTCTCCTGTGCGGCCCATCCCATCGCAGCGTGCGGGGTTCAGGGAGTGGGCATAAGGCGGCAGCAGCCTTCTTCCTCAGTCATGGGGAATTCACCGATGGAACCCTACGTTAGTGTGCGTGCGCCCCGTGCTCCCAGACGCACTGCGTGCATTACACTCAAGTGTGTGTGCATACCCTGTGCCCCCGTGCACCCCTGTGTGTGCGTTACAACCAAGTGTGTGTGCCCCATGCCCCCAGGCACGCTGCGTGTGTTACAACCAAGTGTGTGTGCATGCCCACGTGCTCCCAGGCACGCTGCATGCATTACAGCCAAGTGTGTGTGCACACCCCCATGCTCCCAGGCACACTGTGTACATACACTCCATACTCACACCTTGGCTTCAGGGTCTCACTAAGCCTCCTCCCCCGAAGCCTGGAGTCCCCCACCCCAGAGGGTTTCAGGGAGCTGTGGAGTTTGCTGTGGGTGTGTACCCACTACCGTGTGCGAGCATGCATGTGAACGTGTGCATGCTATTTCTTGTGGCGTCCTTTTCAGCCTTCCCACTCATTAGATGGGAGTAAATCCTCACTGGCTGGCCGGCTAGTCCCTTTTCAGCTCTGAAGGAGAGTCTCCATTCAGCACTTTTGAGCTGAATATGGAGGTGGGAGTCCTGCTCTCTCTGAGTGGAGTCAAAAGGAAAGAGGGAGTTCCCAAAACAATTGGGCAGGGCAGCACCGACCCACTCCTTCCTTCCTTCCTTCCTTCCTTCCTTCCTTCCTTCCTTCCTTCATGGCTGAGCCCAGCGCCTTCCCAGACCCGGGAAGCTGCTTTGGATGTAGCAGACTAGTCTGTGCGCCCTGTCAGGGAGGGGTGGGGCCTCCGGGCCCTTGGTTCGCCTGCATACCCAGCCAACCTGGTAGATGGGAGAGGGGCCCTGCGTGGAGAGGAGGGGCCCCTCACTGGCATGATGACGTCACTTCTGATCCTGTATGATCTCCCCCTCCCGACACTGTCACCAGTTGTCACCAGGAAGGCACTCTTAACTCTGCTGAGAACCATAGGGGCCGACCACCACTCCCCACCCCTCCCAGGGGCCCCCGCGGAGCCGGGCTCCCCAGCAGCACGCCACTCCTTCTGCTCCCTGGAAAGACCTCAGCCCCCGCCGATCAGCTATAACAACCTAGGTAGGCCCCTGTCCTCTCTCCCCTTGTCCCCTCCTTTCTAGTTGGTTCCCAGGTCCTCAGACCACAGCTCCTGAGAGAACAGGGCCCCCATGTGGAAGCCTTTGAAACGAGCAGGGAGGGCAGCGGGCAGGGTTTGTGGGCCTCTGGAGGCAGCCGGCAGCCCTTGGAGCCCGGAGGCCGGTGGGGTCGCTGGCTTGACGCCCTGCGGTGTGTGTTCCCAAGGGGGCGCCCTGGACCCAGGTCTCAGGTCCAGGCACCCACAAGGTGGGTGCTTTCATGGCCTCTCTGTGCCCCCCGGGCTCTCAGGGTGGGCAGTGAGGAATCCTGGTGGGGCTCCAGAGCCACGGGCCCCCTGGCTTCTGCGAGTGCCTCTGTGCCACTGCTGACTGCCAGGCCTGAGGCCTGTGTGTGCCCCTACCCGACCTGTTCAGTTCAGTGACTTACAGGCTTTTGATCATGAAAGGCAACCAGCACCTGCCCCCACGCCTCCTTGGTGCACGAGGAGACGGTCGAGGAGACCGGCTGTCCTGTGGGCTCGTCCGCCCAGGGCCCTCAATTGTTTGAGAGCGGGGTCCTCATCAGGGCAGTCAGAAACCCATCCAGGCAAGCCAGCCTCTTTTTTCCTGTTGGGAAGGCAGATGCCGGCACCTCCGCCCAGGACAGCCCAGCCAGGCCTGGAGCTCAGGAGAGGCAGAGCCGGCAGCCAGTCAGGCCTCCGCCTCCTCCTGCCCACCCCCACCCGGAACCTGCCTGCATCTGTGTCTCTCAATTTCACAGGCCGGCAGGCACCCAAGCGAGGCTGGACGGTGGGCCTGGGGCGTGGCGTCCGATGGGTAGTGCCCTGGGCCCGGAGGGGCCGCAGAGCCCGCCGCGCCCCGAGTTAGCTGTAGCCAAGCGCCTTTTTCCTGTCCTCAGCTGCATGCCGACACACGCGCCCCGCCTGGCACTCTGTCTGCCGCCGCTCCTGGCCTGCCTCCCGCTTATCTTGCCCACTCTCTGGCCACTTGCCCTGGTGAGGGAGGACCTGCCGCCTGCTGCCTGCCGCCTGCTTCCAGACTCCACACACAGTGCTGTGGGGGGCCCGTCGCCTTGGGTGACGCGGCATTGCTAGCCCGAGCACCGGGGCCGGGCTGCTTGTCAGGAGGGCGGCTCCTGCACAGTTGGGCACAGGGTGGGCTGTGGGCACAGGGGAAACATGGCCAGAGTGGACAGGTGCATCCAAGTCGAGAGGCCGCTGAGGAAGTTTCCAGAATGGTCAGGATGAGGGGCATCTGAGGAATGGTCGGGTGTCTCCCTCCATTCATGGAGTTGAATACCAAGGAACATGGTGACTTAGCCCTTTTGGCTCAGTGACCTTGGATGAGTCATGTGACCTCTCTGAGCCTCATCTGTAAAGTGGGAATAACAACCATGGTGATGGTTGTTCTCAGCAGCACTCTGACCTGCAAAGCACAGGACTCTTGGGCGCCTGGGCTTCGCAGCTTTGGGAGGCAGATGCTAAGGGGAACCCCGGCACTAGCCAGGCTGGGGGGGCCCTTCCCAGAGCAGTGGCCCCATCCGTTCCAGCCCGTTTCTCCAGAGGGGCCTGTGGGCCCTGGCTCAGCTGCTTCCTGGGTCCAAGAACCCTTCCTGGGGGCAGGAGGCAGAAGCTCCTGCTGGGGACCGTGGGGTGAGGACACAGCTTCAGATCGGCTCCAGAGCCCCCGAGGAGGGGTGGGGGAACCTGGTGCCTGCCCGGCCCCTGCCCACCAGCCCCGTGCCCCGCAGAGCTGCAGGACCTTGTGCACATCTCCCGGGCCCGGAAGCCGACCTTCATCCTGAGCTCCAAGCGGGACGAGAAGCGGATGTAAGTGAGGAGGGAGGGGGGCTACATGTGCAAGGTGCCCGCCAAGGGCTTGGCGCCTTTGTCTAGCCCACTCGCAGTCCCATGGGGCAGCTCGAACCCTCTAGTGCACTGCAAGGAGACTGAGTCTGTAGGAGCCTGGGTCCGCTCCTTTGTCAGTGGCTGTGCAGGCTCTGGGTCACGTGATGGAGCTGGCTGCAGTCTTGTCCCTCCCCCCAGACCCTGTCATGGTTGTCGGGGAGGTAGCCCAGCGCCCTCTAGAGAGGCTGGACCTGCTTCCTGCTGAGTCCACCCCACTCACCCTGTGTCCCTCCACGGGGCTGGTGGGCAGGGCTGCTTGCCCGGCAACCGGCGGGGGCCCAGGCCCGTGGCGGAAGGCAGGCCTGGGGGGTGGGCGCAAAGAGAAGAAGCCCCTGCCACTTCCTGGACGGCAGCCCCAGGGCCTGCCAGCGTAGCAGGCCGCCGGGACAGATGTGGCTCCTGTCGGCGGCTCTCTGCACCTCTCCCTTAGTAATGGAGGTGGCTTATTCTATGCCCATTGCTATCCTTCATTCCTACCCCAGCAGCCTTCCTAGGGAGACATTAGTAACTGCAGACCCTGCGTCCCTGAGAGAATAAGAGACTTCCTCAAGGCCACAGGCAGTGAGTGTCAGAGCGGAGACAGGCCTGGGTCTTCCACGTCCATGCACTTTCTGCTGCTGTGGGCTCTCCTGACTGGGCCCCAGGGCCGGCCCCTGCAGGGGACAGGGAAAGCTCCCTAAGCGCATGCAGCCCCTGCTCCCAGGGCCAGGCGGCAACCTGTGGCTCCTCGTGGCCTGTGGCCTGGCCCACTTGTTTCCTCGGCCACTTTGTAATTCGTGCCCCACGGGCTGCATCTGGCCATCTGTGTTCTGGCCCTTCCCTCCCACTGTGCCCCCTGCACCCTCCCTGAAGGCGGGGCTGAGATGAGAGTTAGGACCCCTCTGTGGGGACCCCTCCAGGCTGGCCTGTGAGCCACAGCTCAGCCCGCTCCCTCTGGGTTGACCCCTCCATTGCCAGCCCTGTGTCCTCAGAAGGACCGAGGTCTCGCACATTTGCTTTCCTGCCCAGGCCCCCTAGGCCTCCTGTGAAAGCACGGCCTCCCCGCCACCCACTGCCATGGGCTGGCAGCTCACCCAGGAAAGGACGAGGGACCCTGCAGGCAGTGCACTGGACACGCAGCCCTGTGCAGAGCAGAGCCCAGGGACGCCGGGTAAGGCGCCGGGCTGCGATGGAACCCTCTTCCCTTCTGCTGCTGTCCCCACTGCAGCCACGACCACCTGCTTTGCCTAGACGGAGGGGGCGTGAAAGGCCTGGTCATCATCCAGCTCCTCATCGCCATTGAGAAGGCCTCGGGCATTGCCACCAAGGACCTCTTCGACTGGGTGGCCGGGACCAGCACGGGAGGCATCCTGGCCCTGGCCATTCTGCATGGTGAGGGCAGCCACTGGGCGGCGGCGGCAGGGCCGGCTGGGGGCAAGACCTGTCAGCTCCTGAATAGGACTTGTATTGACTCAAGTGATAGCTCCTTCGTGGAGCTGTCTGGACTGCTGAAGGGGCGTCTGCCTGCAGGGGACGGGCACAGGAGGGGCGCGGCCAGTGCCCCCAGCCACTGTACCTGGGCCCTGTGCCTCCCCCCAGTCTGACCCCCCTGTTCCTAGGCAAGTCCATGACCTACATGCGTGGCGTGTACTTCCGCATGAAGGACGAGGTGTTCCGGGGCTCGCGGCCCTACGAGTCGGGGCCCCTGGAGGAGTTCCTGAAGCGGGAGTTTGGCGAGCACACCAAGATGACGGACGTCAGGAAGCCAAAGTAAGCCCGCCTGGCAGGGCGCTGGGGCTGTGGCCGCAGCTCTGCACCCCTCCGGCTGACCTGGGGGCAGAGGCCCCCATCCTGGTCTGATTAAAGCTGGGGTGTGGAGCAGCTTCTTGCCATGGGAATGAGGGGCTTCTGGAGAGCAGGAGTGGAAAACGCCCTCCACCCATGGCGATGCTTTCCCACCCAGACAGCAGGTCCCAGGGTCCGAGGGGGTCGGCGCTGGCCAGCACACACTCGGGGCTTTTTGGCTGAGCACGGCTCTGTCCTGGGCACTGTGTGTGCGGGAGCGTGCGCGCAGGATAGGGAGGAGGGCGAATAGATGCAGGCACCAGGCTCAAGGCTTGCTGTGTGGTGGGGCAATAAGTGACCTGAAAAAGTGGCAGCCGTGCAAGGAGGGCATGGGCCCTCGTGTAAGAGGTTGCAGAAGAGCCTACAGCACCGCTACTGTGTAGCTCCCCCGCCCTGGAATTACTCTCTTGTCTGTGTCATTCCTGTCCTGCCTGCCAGACGGGGAGCTCCCTGAAGTAGGGGCACGACGGCCCTGGTTCTTCTGCAGCCCCAGCACCTAGCACAGTGCCCGGCCCAGAGCCGCCCGCTGAAAAGTGCTCATCCCTGACTGTCCGTGGAAATGATAGACAGGGCTGAGGGTGAGGGGGTCAGGGAGGGCTTCCTGGAGGAAGTGAAGGATAAGAGAGTACTAGGGGATTTGGGAGGATTTATTTTTATAATAAAGCTTTTTTTCCATTGAAGAATAATGTATCGTCTTTTAAGGAGATTTGGAAAATGTAGAGAGAAAAAGAGGAGAAGATCATCCATGACTTATTAACCGAAGTACGATGTTTCACATTTTTGTATATTTTATCCTAGATGTTTTTTCCTCTTGTTTATGGTGAAATAGAACTTACATTTAGAAAAGTACATAAACCAGATCAGTGAATAAATATAAAGCAAACACTCATATGACCACCCGCCAGGTCCACATGCCCCGCCCCCGTTGCAGCCTCCGCCCTCCGCTGGGATGGCTGCGTGCCCGCTGTGCGGAGGCATTTCCCGGGCCTGGAGCCGTCTCGTGTGTCATCTCTCTCACCCCACTGCTGTGTGCTGTGTCTCTGAGCATGGCCCCTGCTGCTGGGTGACGCTGGGCTTCGTTCATCCTTCTTGCTCATCAGACGACGCCCCACAGTTATTTCTCTGAGTCCCTTCGGTGGACGCTGGGGTTGCTTCCAGGCTGGAGCTCCTGCTGCAGGGAGAGCTGCGGAGCTTGCTTTCTGACCGCCTGGGCGGGTTGCCCTGGAGCCCGAGCCTGGGACTGGGCTGCCCAGCCTCAGATACCTGCTCCGGACTACCCCCCGCCCCCGCCGGCCCCCCACTCCCTGCCCCCAGGCTCTGCCCAACTATCTTCCAAAGGGCTGGCTTCTATTGTCATGCCATTAGCCGTTGTTTGAGAGTTCCTGTTGCTCTGCATCTTGCAAATTGTCAAACGTTTTTATCCTTACAAATCTGGGGGGGCATAAGGTGGTGTGTCTGTGTGTTTTGAATTTTCATTTCCCTGATGACTGGGGAGGTTGAAACAGCTTTTCATAGGTTTAAAGGCCCTTTGGAGTTCCTCCTTTGTAACGTTCCTGTTCAAGTGTTCTGCCTATTTTGGGCAAAATTGGGTTATGTGATTTTGGAGTTATGAGGTTTCTTAGTGGTCTTTTTTTAGTTTTTGAGAGCCAGCCCTTTGAGGGCACATGGATTGGAGATCTTCTCTCCCACCCCATGGCTTGTCTTCACACTGCTCTCTTTAAGGCGTTTTGTTGGTGAACTTTAATGCCTTAATATAGTAGAATTTATCAATGTTTTCCTTTGTATAGTTTGCACTTTTTATATGTCTCATTTAGGATCCCTTCCTTAACCGAAGGCAGGAGGCCAGTGCCCTGGGTCAGGTCAGAAAGCCCTCTGAGCTGCCGTTCGTGTTTAGGTCTTTTTGAACCTGGAACTGATCGGTGTGTCAAGGAGAGCCAACTTCATGTTTCCCACGCGAATAGCCAGTCTCCCTAGCCTCTCTCCTCGGCGGTGGGTCGGGATCCTTGCTCGGGTCTGTTTCTGGCTGAGCCCTGCCCCCTCGGCTGGATGCCGGGCCTGCGCCCAGACTAAGGAGCCCTGATTCTGCAGCGTTACACTTAGTCCCCACACGTGGGCAGCAGGACCTCCTGCCTTGCCCTCCACCTCCTGGAGCTTCGTGGCTGCCCTGGGAGGCCCTGTGGAGAAGTGGTTAAGTGCACGCACCCCGAAGTTTCCTCTTCTAGAAAAGCGAATAATAGACTGCCTGCCTCCTGGGGCTTTCAGGAGGTGCAAACAAGTGCTTTATAAAGCACTTGACGCATGCAAGTCTGTATAAAGGTTGGGTGTTGCTATTTGTGCGTCCATATAAATGGTAGGATGAGGCTGTCAAACTACAGAAAATCAAATCCTGGTGGATTTTGATTGAGATTTGTTTCTGGGAGATTCAGCACTGAATCTGTGAGCTTATTTGGGGGAGAATTGACATCTGAAAACACAGAGTCTTCCAATTACAGAACATAGTAAAACATTCCATTTGTGTCGAGTTTCTCAGTACAGTTTTATAATTTTATCTAGAGAGATCTTACATGTCTATTCTTTTTATTCAAATGCATATGTTTTATTCATGTCGCATATGTTTTGTGCTATTATAAATTACACATTTTGAAACATTTCATTTTCTAGCTATAGGTAGTATTTAGAAATACCATTTATTTTAAAATTTTAATTGTAAAATACACGTAACATAAAATCATCGTAACCATTTCAGTTGTGCTGTTCAGGGGTGTTAAGTGCATTCGCGTTGCTGTGGGACCAATACCCTGACATTTTTCATCTTGTGAAACTGAAACCCTGCACCCACTAAACATCCCCGTCCCCCTCTCCCCCAGCCCCGGGCCGCCTCCGGGCTGTGCGTCCCTCTCCGAGTTCGGCCACTCTAAGTACCTCACGCAATTGGAGTCGTACAGTATTTGTCTCCCGGTGGCTGGCTTAGCCCTCCATGTCCTTAGCACGATGTCCTCGGGGTTCGCCCAACGCTGTAGCACGTGTCAGAGTCTCCTTTTTAAAGGCTGAATACTGTCCCATTGGGCACATATCCCACAGCTGTTTGCCCGTTCGTCCCTGACGGGCACGTGGGCCTTTTCCACCTGTTAACTACTGTGCGCAGCGCTGCTGGTTGCGCACGGCGCCTGGTCAAGGGCCGGTGCCTTTTTCAGAGGGAATTCTGACTGGTTCAGTTTGCTCATACCTTGCTTAGGATTTTGCAGCTATGTTCATGAATGAGCTTGATTTCACCAATTCCATGTACTTTTTCTTATCTATAATTGATTTTCTGTATTTTAAATCTACCTTGTTTTTTTCTTTAAGTCTTTTGAGATAGTAGTATTGTTTTTTGGAATTGATGTTTATTTAGATTTGATCCAGCAGGGTGCTGGTAAACCAGACCTCTGAGGGAGAGCCCTGATTTATCCAGGCTTTGCCAGTTCCAGTGGCATAAACACTCCCACTGTGGCCGAGTTCAAGCCACCGGCAGGTTAGCACAGCTTTGAGACTGAGCAGAAGGCTCTCACAAGCCAGTATGAGCTGGCTCTGGCACAGCACTGGGTATGTATGTGGGGGTATGTACACATGTGTGCATCACTTCTTTGCTCTGTGTTTTCTCCTGCATCTCAGGCTCCACCTGTGAGCATGTCCCTTCTGCCTGAAGTACATTCCTTTTTATGACTTTCCCGTAGAGAGGGTCTGCTGGTGGCACATTCCTCGCTAGCAGAATTATTTGAAAATAGGTTTATTTCACTCTCATCATATGAAACTAGTTTTATTTCACTCTCATCAATTGGCAGTCGTTTTATTTCTCTCTTATTCCTGTTGGGCACAGAATTCTAGGTTGGCGATTTTCTTGTAGGACATGTACAATATCATTCATTCCGTCCCCTTCCAGCTTCCATCGTTGAGCCTGAAAAGTCAGTTCCAATCGAACTGTTACTCTTTTGAAGGTAATGGTTTTTTTCCTCTGGATGCTTTTATTTGTTTATTTGTTTTTTGTGCCCTGCAGTTAGTTGTGTTATGATACATCTAGACGTGAGCTCCTTCTGATTGGTCCTGCGTGGGGCTCAGTGGTCCTCAGCCGCTTTGTCCTGGGGGCCCGCCTCATCCTCTCCCTAACACGGGCCCCCGTGTTCCTTCCTCCCTTTCCTCCTGGGACTCCAGTGAGACAAAGTGAGGCCTCTTTCTTTCCTGTCTTTTAACTTCCCTGCTGTCTTCTATCATTTTATCTCTGTGTTGCATCCTGGAGAAGTTCTACTTACCTATTTTCCAGTTCACAAATTCTCTCTTTAGCTTTATTTAAATTTCCATTCACATACCCACTGAGTTTTTGTTTTGTTTTTTTTTTCTCCTATTTTGTTGTTAATTTCTAGAAGTACTTTTTGATTCTTCAAATATTCTAGGTCATTAGTTATAGATTCCTGTTCCCTGAAGACATTATATCAGGCTTGTCTTTCACGCCTTTAAACTTTATAAGAATAACCTTTATAACCTCCATCTGAGGATTCAAATATCTTCACTCTCTGTAGGTGTGTTTCACTATTTATGTTGGTTTATGCTGGTTCTCATTAATGGTGTTTTATTCATTGTGTGCCCTCCTCCCCCCCCCCCTTTTTTTTAACTGTATGGTGTTTCTTAGTGTTGAAGAAGAATATATGCAGGTCCTGTGAGGCTCTAATGAGAGTGTCTTCCTTCAGGGGGTCTTGTGCTATCTCTTTAAGGTACATAGGTACACTACCATGTAGGGCCACCGTTGATAAATTCTTGACGTGAAGGTTTTGAGACTTCGCCCAGGTGGTGTGAATTTAGACTGCAGCTCTGAAGGAGAGCTGGCCTGTGGTTGCTCCTGCTCAGGGATTTTTTCTCTCTCTCTCCTTCGTCCAGTGCCGGGGCAGCTTCCCTCCTACCCTGCAGGGGTGGGGAAGGGTCTGGTTTATTTCTGGTTTGCCTTGTCCGAGAGTGTAGCCCTTTGGAGTCCCGACCTAATACAGGGAGGGTCTCTCTTTAGACCCCTAACCTTTGGAGGGCCCTGGATTCGACTGTGTCCCTCTGGCCCCCTGAGGCCGTCTACGCTGGCATTTAAATTTCCTGAGTTTGGTGTCTGCCTTTGAGGCAGAGCCGGGTCTGCGCTCCACTTACCCCTCTGGGCCCCTGTGTATTCTTGGAATTCACCCCGGTGCCCCCTTCTCTCTCATCAGGCCTGTGCTTTTATGTAGCTTTTGCAAAAAAAAAAAATTTTTCAGCATTTAATTTTTTTGTTCAGTGGGAAGATTATTCAAATGACCTTTCCCCAGTATTCCCAGAAACGGAAAACTGGTAGCTTTTTCCCCATGCAGTTTTTGGTTCCCCCTCCTTTATCGCTGTCTCTGCAGTGTAACAGGTGCATTTCTGGTTACCTCGAGCTCCCAGCAAGCCTAATGCGGAGCGTCTGAGAAACACTTCGTTGTGCACGTACTCCCTCTGTTGTTCCCAGTTAGATTGGTTTGTTTTCCACTGCAACAAATGTCCCTGAGACGGAGAGCCTTCTAGGAGAAGCCGCCACTGTAACTAAGGCTATCCCTCAGGATAGGCTTCCTGAAGCGGAATTCCCGGGCAGACAGCTAGGGCGCAGATGAGAGTCTCCATACGTATTGCTTTCCGAGGGGGCTGTGCGGGCACATACTCCCCAGAGTGTTTACTGTTGTCTCAAGGTGAGGAGGAGTCCACTTTAATAGGTTATAAACTCCATGGTGGACAGGATATTAAAGAGGCTTCAAAGGTGACACGGTGCGGTCTCCTCCTGGAGCTGCAGCCACCAAGCTGTCCCCTGCCCCAGAGGCAACTCCCTGCTGCCAGGTGCTGCTCGCGGTCAGAGCAAATAGGTTCATAGGTTTGGGGGGGATTTGTTTTTAAATAAATGGTGGTGCACTGCACACCCGTCCTGAGACGTGTTTTCCTACTTGGCCATCGATCTCCGGCCTCACCGCCTGTCAGCACATACAGCGCTCCTTGGTCCTTCCGTGGTGACACAGACCCCTCTGGGTGGGGAGCCAGCGGCAGTGGCCCAACCTGCAGGTGGACAGCTCAGCTATTGCCAGCCTTTCGCTTTAACAAGTGCCGCTGCCCTTAGCAGCCTCATCTCCACACGTTCGAGAGTGGCTTAGGATGAATCCTCGGACAGGGGCCTCCAGGGGTGGGCGGGTCGGGGACTTTAGCCATCCTGTTCCTTGTGTCTCTTCAGGGTGATGCTCACAGGGACGCTGTCTGACCGGCAGCCAGCTGAACTGCACCTCTTCCGGAATTATGAGGCTCCAGAGTCTGTACGGGAGCCTCGTTTCAGCCAGAACATTAACCTCAAGCCTCCAACTCACCCCTCAGGTTAAAGCCATGTTTGATGCATCTGTGGGACGCGATTGGCCTGCAAGGCAGCAGGGTGGTGGGTGGGAGTCATAGGCTTGCTGCTGGGCACCCCCAGCACCCCACCCCCCACCTGTTGCCCTGAGTTTTTATTGGCTGAGCACAGGCAGAGCTGGGGATTTGTCAGGCCCCGGGCTGCTAGAGGAGGCCCCTGGAGGCCCTCAGCTGCCCTCTGCCTTCCCTCAGGGTGGCGGGGCCAGACCACATGGCCTCGCCGGGCCTGTTCCTCTTCCTGCAGCCCCGCAGGCGCGCGCACACGAACACCCAGATCTAAAAAGCTCAGGTCTATACCAGTCCCTGTCCCACTGAGCCACCCTCCTCCCCCACCCCAGAGCAGCTGGTGTGGCAGGCAGCCCGGAGCAGTGGGGCAGCCCCCACCTACTTCCGGCCTAATGGGCGCTTCCTGGATGGCGGGCTGCTGGCCAACAACCCCACGCTGGACGCTATGACCGAGATCCATGAGTACAACCAGGACCTGATCCGCAAGGTGAGAGCCACCTCGGGTCGGAGGGGCCAGGCCTGCCCGCCCGCTGCAGCTGCCCCGTTTCGGCAAATCTGAAGGATTGACCCCGGGAGAGCAAACGGCTCTTGCTGACGCCTTCACGGATGTGTGCGCTCAGCCGCAGGTTTATCGCACACTGGAACCTGCTTGATCGGTGGTGCCGCCCAGAGCGCTGTGCTAAGAGGGGCTCCAAGGCCCAGTCTGGGCTGAGTGGTGCAGTGGCCTCTGGGTTTGGGTCCTGGCTCTGCCCATTCTTTGCTTCAGCCCCTGAAGGGGCTTCCTGACAGCACCGGCCTGGGGATTGTCAGGAGGCATCCACGTGCTCTTGTCTGTAAAGTGTTAGGGACAATGCCTGACCCCGAGTGTGCCTCATCCTTTCTGGCCATCATGGGGGTCATCACTAAGTTCTGGGTGCAGCCCCTGGGTGGGGAGGAAGGGGCTCTGCCTTCAGAGAGGTGAGCGCCCTCTAGGGGCCAGATTGGGCATGAGGAAGGGTCCTCCATCATCATCCAGCTAAACTGCCTCCTGTTGTGGATGAGGAGCCTGGGTCCGAGTGACTCATCGAGGCCGCCCAGCAGACAGGTGGCAGAGCTTGTTCTGGAGCAAAGAAGGAGGCAGCACAGGCTGGACTGCTGCGACAGGAGGCCCGTCCCGCCGCCTCACGCCCCCCCTGGACCCCAGCCCTGGGCCTCTCGCACCCCTGGGAAAGGCCCACTGGGCGGAAGTCCTCTCACTACCCTTGTCCTGTCCCCAACAGGGTCAGGGCGATAAGGTGAAGAAACTCTCCCTGGTCGTCTCTCTGGGAACAGGGAGGGCCCCACAGGTACCCGTGGCCTGTGTAGACGTCTTCCGTCCCAGCAACCCCTGGGAACTGGCTAAGACTGTTTTTGGGGCCAAGGAACTGGGGAGAATGGTCGTGGACTGTGTGAGTATGGGCCCTCGCTGGACCCACTTCCTTCGGGGTCTCAGCGCCAGGATGATACCTTCACCTCCCCGGGTACCCTGACCCCCTTGATCCAGCCCAGGGTGGGGGTCCCTGATTCAGGGTCTCAGCGCTGGCAGGGGCCCTCAGTGGCCCCCTGCAGGGGGGGTTTTCATGTGTTGGCTGTGGATCCCATCCCTTCCCTCAAACAGCCCCGGGGGGAAGCCCAGAATATCAGGTGGACAAAAGCTGATATCCTGAGGGTGGGATGTGGCGGCCTGTCCCCTCAGCTCCAGCCCGTCCCCGCATCATGCTCAGTGACCTTGAATGGGCCCTGCTGAGCCAACTGTCAAAACCACACACTGTTCCTCTGCGTACCCAACTGGGACAGGCACTATGGCCCAGGGAAGGGGGCTTGCTGAGAGGCACTGTGGGTGTGGCGTGTGCTGGGTGCTCACAGGGGCTGCTTCTCGCCAGTGCACAGACCCGGACGGGCGGGCCGTGGACCGGGCCCGGGCCTGGTGTGAGATGGTCGGCATCCAGTACTTCAGGTGAGGCTCCGCCGGCCCAGCCCCGCCCCCACCCAGCCCGCAACCCCCAACCCCACTCCCTGGCCCGGCCAGATCTGGCGACCGTTCCCACCCCCATCCTCGGCATGGACCTTCCCCTCTCCAAATCCTAGCTCTTGTCTGCTACCCAGGTTGAGAGTCCTGGGGTGACCCCTCCTCCTTGACTTGGGCAGATTGAACCCCCAGCTGGGGTCGGACATCATGCTGGACGAGGTCAACGACTCGGTGCTAGTCAGTGCCCTCTGGGAGACCGAGGTCTACATCTACGAGCACCGAGAGCAGTTCCAGAAGCTCATCCAGCTGCTGCTGTCTCCGTAGGGCTGCCAGGTCCCAGCTGCCTCCACCCCACCCGACTATCCACCCCCGCTAGGGAGGGGTCTGAGGCCCAAGCGCCACACTGTGGGGCAGAGCCCATCCAAGGCTGCTCTGCCCATGGGCGGGGCCTCGGAAGGTGCGGGGCCTCCTGCCTGAGGCCGGTGCTGAGGGCTGCCCCCGCTCTGTCCCTGCCTCTGGCGCTCTCCATGGCTCCAGCTTAGAGGCCTAGCGCCTCACTGGGACCATCAGCCATGAAGGACAACAGACTCTCAGGCCCTCAACCTCTATGTCAAACACGAAGGGCGCCCAGGTGCGCCCTCAGCTCTCCCAGGTCCTCTGGGGGTACAGCCGCCCCGTCCGCCCTCTGCTCTTTTCCCTGGGGGTGGGGTTGGAGAAGCTCCAGGAACTGGCCGTCACCCACGCCAGCAGCAGAGGCAGCCCATGCTCCAGGAGTGGGTGCCCCGTTCAACTTTGCCCCTCAGCACATGCCCAGCCACCTGCGCCCTCAGAGCTGCCCTGCACTGTGAGCTTGCTGCAGCTCCAGACGGTTGCTCCTGAGACTTGTTATTCTTCCCAACAGGCAATGGTTTATCAGTGGGGCAGGGCTCCCCCAAACTGTGAAATAAATGGTTTGATTCCAGGTGCCCTGGGTTGTGTGCGCTGTGGTGTGAGTGCTCCCTGCCCCCTCCCCCCACCCACCTGCTCCCTGCAGCCATGACATTCAGCCTGACTGTGGTCCTCATGTGCCTTGCACATGGCTGCTCTGTTTTCTGGGCCCTCTGGGGTGGAGGTACCTCCTCTCTCCTCCAAGCCCCCCGAGTCAGGCTGGCAGGCTGTTCAGAGGCGGCAGCCAGGCGCGCCTGTCCCACGGTGGGAGGCCGGGGAGAGGCGGGGCTCAGGGACCTCCGTGAGTGAGCGGCTGAGGTTCGCCCCCAGGTCTGGGCGACTGAGAGTTGGTGCTGCCCCCCTCCAGTGTGCAGAGGAGCTGGGCGGGCAGCAGTGGGCCTGGGCCTGGGCCCTCGAGGTGCAGGTCTGGTCTGAGGGGCTCAGAGTAGAGAAGAAACCCAGCGACAGTGACGACCTGCAGGCGCATCGGCCCTGGGCGTCTGCCAGGGAGGGCCCTGGGGGGTGCAGTGAGCAGTTCCAGCCCAGTGCACTGGGCAGCACCCACTACAGGCAGGGGGAGGTCAGCGGTCCCCCGCGCCAGGGTCCCGGCTGGCCTGGCGAAGCCTCATCCTGGAGGTGGAGGTGGCCTCGGAGGGTGGCTTGCCCACGCGTGCCTGCCGGCCGCAGCTCAGAGGGGTAAATAATTGAAGGGCAGGTCACACGAACCGCCTGCGTCACAGGATGCCTTCCCCCGGGTCTGGTTACGCCCCAGATCGCGTTCTGACATCCCTGGCTGGTGAATAATTAAGCTGCCACCTCCTCCTCGGCCGGCCCTCCGTTTCCAGGTCCCGCTCTGCGGCCTCCTTCACCACCCGCCACGCAGTGGGCCCCGCTGGTGCTGACCCCGGTGCTCCCTGCCCTGCGAGCGCCACCAACCTTTTGCTCCGTGCCCGGGTGCAGTCTGCCCCATGGCCCCCGAGATGGACCAGTTCTACAGGTCCACCATGGCCATCTACAAGGTGAGCGCGCGTGCAGCCCGGCCCGTGGCTGCAGTGCCCCGGCCCAGGTGCGAAGGTGGGGCCCGCTGTGGGAGACAGAGGGTGCGCGCGGCTGTGGCGAGTTCTGGCGAGGAAGACGTGGGGTCAGGCTGGGCTGAGCTGTGGGCACGGAAGGGGGGCCCTCTGGGGACAGTCATTCCCCCCGGCCCCACCCCGGGGCTCCCGGGAGGGTTTGTCTGCAGGCACCCAGTGAGCAACAGGCCCGCCGAGGCGGTGCTCAAATGCTGGGCGAGGTGGGACAGGGCCCTGCGTGGCTGTGGCTGGGAGCAGGGTGCAAACAGTCACCTGGCCTGGGAGTGGGGAGCTTCTGTCTGTGTCTGCGTGCCCTCTGTCTGTGTGCCTCGTCTGTCTCACCCTCGTTTCCAAGCCCCCACTCAACGTTGCTGCTTCAGTCCCGAGGGGTGGCTGCAGCCCCCAAAGGCCTCCACTGAGCACCTCCTGTGTGCGGGACCCTTTCCCATGCAAGCCTCACATCGCCCCCCCTGTGGGGTAAAAAACAATCACTCGGTTGGATAGATGAGAACACTGAGGCCAGAGAGGTCAAACAGCTTGTTCAAGGTCACCAAGGGAGGCAGAGGGGCTGCAGGGATTTGAACCAGGGCCGAAGTCCAAGCTCAGAGGCGTCTCTGCCACCCAGAGTGCTCTCCCACCAGCCAGGGCTTCGGGTGGCCTGGCTCCCAGAGGGCTCTTCTCCGAGGGGGGCAAGCTCTGCCCTTGCCCCTGAGGTGCCTGCGGATAGACTGTACGTCCAGTCCAGGGAGGCCTGGACTCGGGCCTGGGCTGAGCTGTGCCCAGCCAGGGTCTGTGACGGGCTGGCAGGCTTCAGCCCAGCGGGAGGGGGCGGGCCCCCCGGGTGTGCGGTCTCGGGAGCACAGTCCCCCCAGGGGAGGTGTGTGAGCAGGAGCTGGCCGGGGCGACCCTGGCCTGGAACAGGGCCACGGGAGATGGCTTCTGAGGCCCGTACAGGATTCTGGGCGACCCCAGGCTTCTAGGTGGGTTCCCCTAGATTCTGGGGGCTTCTCACTGGGGCTAGGCGGCCCGGCGACTTGCCTCTGGCCGTCATTCTTTCCTCTCCCGCCGTTCCCCTCGCTCCCCTCGCCCTTGGGGCCCAGAGCATCATGGAGCAGTTCAACCCCGCCCTGGAGAACCTGGTGTACCTGGGCAACAACTACTTGCGGGCCTTCCACGGTGAGTGCCCGGCCGTGGACACCCCCTCCCCCGACCTGTTCCCTCCACACAGACACGCACGCCCCCACCCCGTTCTCTGCACAGCCATTCGCCATTCCCCAGCAGCACGCCCTCCGCCAGTGCCGTCTGCAGGGTGGACAGGCCAGGGACACACCTGGAGCCAAGTGCCACCCAAACCCTCCCTGCCTTTTAGTTCTTCAGAGTCAAAGTCTGCTTCCTCCCATCAGCAACTGGAGCCCCCCTCACCCGCCCCCACTTGGTGCCTTTATACCTGCGCCCACCCCTCCTGATGGGCACACACAGGTGCCTGTCCCCCCGCCCCCCACCCCAAGACAGGCCCACACCAAGGTCCTGCGTGGCGCCTGGCCCTGCCCCCTCAGGTAGAACCCACCCCACGCTGCTGCCCTTTACCAGTGGCCACATCCCACGCTACCCAGGGTGCCCCCTCCTTCTCACACGAACCCACGCCAGGCCCCACGGAGCCCCCCCGCGCACTCTGTCCTGTTGGAGGGAGGGGTGTCCAGGAGGGCGGGCGGCTGGCAGAGGGGTTGCCGCACCGACCCCCTCCCCACACAGCTCTGTCGGAGGCGGCCGAGGTGTACTTCAACGCCATCCAGAAGATCGGGGAGCAGGCCCTGCAGAGTTCCACGTCGCAGATTCTGGGTAAGGGGCTCCCCTCCCACTGGCCCCCTCACATGCCCTTTTGAGCCTGGGGCGCTCTCCTCCTGGCCCCCCGCCCCCGCCCCTGCCCCCCCACCCCAGCCGCCTCCTGCTGTCCAGGCTCCGCACGCTCCGCCTGCCTTCCTGGTGCCTCCCCGGGCCCGGCCCTGCCTTGGCCCTCATGCTCGGGTCCCAGAGGGCACTGCTTTTACAGCCTTGCCCTTCCAGGAAGTCCTGCCCCGCCGAACGCACTGGCCTTGCAGCCCAGAGCCCAGACTCCTTCAGGAGCTCGGGCCCCTCCCCCCACCCTGCTCCCCGCCTGGCTGGGACAGGTGCTGCCCGGGTCCTAAAGCCACGTGGGAAATCTCAGGACTTTGGTTGAGAAATCCGGCCTCAGGCAGGCCCTTCTGGAAGCTTCGGGCAGGAAGAGGGTGGGAGGGCAGGTGCCCCTCATGAAGCCATTGTTCTTTGGGCCTGTAGGTGAGATCTTGGTGCAGATGTCGGACACCCAGCGACACTTGAACTCCGACTTGGAGGTGGTGGTGAGTACTGACCTGGGGGTTTGCCCTCCCGCGTCTCTTCTCGGGGAGGACTTCCTGAGGCCCTCAGTGACATGGCCACACTGGCCAGGCCAGGCTCTGCTGGGCACCTTTACCTGCCATGTCTTCTTCCAGCCTCTAGCCACCTGGAATGCAGGTGCCATTTCTGCCCCTATGTTACCGAGGAGGAAACTGAGTCTTGGGGTTGTAGCCACTCCACCCAAGGTTGCAGAGTGAGGGGAGGAGCCGGGAGACAAAGGGCTGGGCCCGGGGCCCCTCCCCGCCTCCAGCCCCGCCCTCTGCTCCCCCAGAGCAGCCGGTGGGCTGACCTGTCCCACCCATGAGAGAAACCCTTCCAGCCCTGCTGCCCACAGAACCAAACCCAGGCTCTTCAGGGAGGACTTGCCGGCCCTGCTGACCTGGCAGCGCCAGGTGGTACCCGCCCCCCCGCCCCGCCACAGCCCAGGGACCCTGAAGAGCTGCACCCCCCGGACACAGCCTAACGCCCCACCCCCCGCCGGGCTGCTGTCATGCTGTCCTCTCAGCCTGAAGCCCCCACCCCTGCCATCCATCACAGCTGCCCCCTCCTCCAGGAAGCCTGCCTGGCTCCTGGGCAGGCTTAGCACCTCCTCCCTCTGGACTCTGACAGATGCTCCCAGCTGTTCTTAGCAGGCAGCAGATAAGGAAGTGATCCCCGCAGCCAGAGCCCCGGCTCCCCTAGCTGCTGGCTTTGTGACCTTGGATGAGCCACATAACCCTCCTGGGCCTCAGTTTACCTGTCCATGAAACGGAGACAGTTATAACAGCAGCCCTGTAGGATTCTTGGGAGGGCTGAGTGAAATGAATAGTATACACCCTCCGCCCTGGCACCTGGGCCCTTCGGGTGCCTCAGCTGTGACGATTAGAAGTAAAATGTGCTTCCCTGTCTCTGTCCCTGCCAGGACTGGGACCTCTAACGGGACATGATCTCTCTGGAGCCCTGGGGCCTGGTGGGGACTGGCACCGAGCGGGGCTTCGCTGCCCGGGAGGAAGGAATGAGCTTTGAAGAGGGAGTGGGGCTCGGCCAGAGGGGGAAAAAGGGCGCCCCCGCATGGGCGTGGCCGTGGGCGTGGCGTCCATCGGGCAGGCGGGAGCCGGGGTCAGGAGCCAGGGCACAGCGGGGCGGGGGCGGGGGCCGGGGACCTTGGAAGGTTCTGAAGGAAATCTCACCTGATTGTGACGGTCTGTGGTTCTCCAACGTGTGGGAGGGGAACCGTGAAAGTCCGGGTGTCCTCCTTTGGAGACATCATTAACTACTCAGCGATTTGTTTGCCGTGTCAAAACGGGGAACAATTTTAGCAGCAGAAACTGTGTGTCCCCCTACACACGATAAAGGCACCCCCCAGTCCGACTCCCAGACCTGCCGCGGCGTAGGTAGCACCAGGCCTGCACCACCTTCCGGGGCTTGGCAGGGAGTCATGGAGCCCGGGACCTCCCGTCCTTGTGTTGGGTGGCTCTCCGTGTCACTTGTGGAACCCCGGGCTGGGCAGGGACAAGTGTCACCCAGGCCCGCTCTGTAAAAAGAGCTGCCATCTCTGGGCACTGGCGTCTTGGCTGTGACAACAGGGCAGGGCCCTCAGCCAGAACCACGCTGGCCCGCGCGCAGCAGAGGCCGTCTCCCCTCTGACTCATTCACCGGACGGCTGCTGACCACCCCGCGCCAGGCGCTGCTGTAGGCGCCGGGGTCGGGCTGGCAAAAACCCCGCCCTGCCCAAGAGCGGAGCCGACCAAACCCAAGACTAGTAGGTGTGTGTATATATGACAGGTTAGATGCAAGATAGGCCACAGAGAAAAACAGAGCAGGGAAGGGGATAGAAAGGGCAGGAGGGGCATAATTTTTTTAAAAAATCCTCATCGAGGAAATGTTTATTGATTTGAGAGGGAGAGGAAGGGAGAGAAGAGAGAGGGAGAGAAACGTCAATATGAGAGAGAAACGTCGATCGATCGGTTGCCTCTCATACGCACCCTGACTGGGGATCGAACCCGCAACCTTTTGGTTGGAGAGGATGACACTCCAAACAGCTGAGCCACCCAGCCAGAGCAGGGGTGCAGTTTCTAAAAGACACGTGGGGACAGCATCACTAGAAAGGTGACGCTGAGAGAACACCTCAGCATCTGAGGAGCGAGGAGCGAGCCAGGTAGACTGAGCGTCCTGCACGGAGGAAGCAGCGCATGGAGGGGCGCGAGGTGACCGTGTGGCCCGCGTGGAGACAGCGAGCGGGGAGCAGGTGACCAGCCACTCAGGGGCCCCTCCTCTTGTAAAGGTTGCATCGTTAGAGGGTGCTGAGGGAAGGAGAAGCAGGATCTCACGCAGGTTTGGTTTTTCTGATGGAAGCTGAAATGCAGGTCCTGAAATGTTCCCTGAACATGTTAAACCTTAGTGGATCATGGCCAGGCAAACCCTCCCTTGCACCCACCACCCAGGCTCAGAACTTCGCAGCCTCCCCGGAAGCCCCTCCATGTGCCTCCATCAAAATCACAGCCCCTCCCTCCCTCCAAAAGCGGCCCGGGTCTGGCACTTCCTGTGTTCCTTTGTCGTCGATCAAAGCGGACACTCCTAGACACTAGATTTTGGTCTTACTCTTTTTTTTTTAAATATGTGTTTGAGTCTCTTCATCTACCGATCCCCCTCCATCTGCCCCTCTCTTTCTTTTCTCACACCTTGTCTGTCGGAGGCCCTGGGGCCTGCTGACGGCCGTGTCTGCAGCCTGGAACTTGCTGATCACGCGCTCCTGGTGCAGCCTGGCTCATGCCTCTGTCCTCTGGTTCCAGAGGCCCGATCAGACTCGGGTCCCATCCCTCTAGCAGGACTGGAGACGGAGCCGGGGTCGTCCGCCGGGAGGCACGTCCTGCCCACTGCCGTGTAGCTATTAACAGCCGCGGAGGCCCCGCGCCCCGGGACAGGCTCACACACCAGGAGTCGCAAGATGCCGCTGCTCCAGTACCCTTTCACATCCTGAGTGGGATATTTCTAAAAGAGTCCCCTCTCCTTATCTGCCACTCGCTACCCAGTGACCCGCTTCATACGGGGAAGGCAGGGGAAAGGCTTAGGCCCTCCCTCTGCTCTCCTGTCACCCTCTGGAGGTGACCGATTGGCTTTATTTTTCTAACCAGCACAAGTAGTGTAGTATGTTTTGGTATTCTCGGTATCAAATTTAAGCCTATTTGATGTGTTTCAGTTCTGCAGTTATTATTTTTACTCGAAGTTGAAAATGTGCTCTCTTTGAGCAGGAAGCCTCTTCCGCCTGGCTGCTGAGTCCCTTTGGAACGACCCTGGTAGTTTTGACTCCCTAGCTGCCCCGGCCAACAAGACGGCCCAGCCTCACCTCCTACTTTTCCAGAGTCTGGGCACTAAGGGCTTTTATTGCTTCTGAGCTGATGGTTGTGAGGTCTGTTCAGTGGCCGGTGCTCTACATACAGAGATGCATATGTATGTATACTACATACATACATTGTATGTGCATGTATGTGCATTGGCATACATGTAGGTACATACATATGTGCACACACTATAGATACCTGATGATATGTGCAATGTATTTAAAGACAAAACACTTTATAGAGTCATAGTGATACTTCCAATTCAGAGTCAGCCTTGGAGGACCTTTGCTTCCCTCTTCTGTGTTACACCAGGAGATGTGTTTCATGTCAAGAGTCCTCCCTCTCCGAGACGGACAGCGAAATAATCGGATGTCCCACAACTCTCCATTGGCTTTATCCCCCTTCACACCACAGCCGCCTCTGAGCGATGATTAACTCGCCAACTCTACCACCTCCTATACGGTTTCTAAAAGCAGCTCACGTTTGTTTTGCATCTGCTGCCCCCATGCTGGTCCCACTGTTGAAATCCTCGTGCTGTGTCTCCATGGTCTGAGCTCAGAGCCGTAACACACCTTGTCCCTCCCTTTAGCCCCGCCCCTGTTGGCTTTTGTTTACAAGTAGCTACATATTGAATGCTCAGCACCAGTCCTATGACAGTGTCTCAATTGTCACTTTCCTGCCTGAAGCTTGTTCTCTAATAGTCCCCACAGGAAGGGGTCATGTGAACAGTGTTCTCTGCGTCCTGACGTGGTGATAATAATTAGTGATACCTGCAAGCCAGTTTCGTTGGGTATAAAACCCTTTGCCTGTTCCTTCCTTCCTTCCTTTCTCTTTCCCTCCCTCCCTCCCTCCTTCCTTATTCCTCTTCCTGTTTCTTTTGTCTCTGATGATCTTAAATATGTTTTTCTTCTAACATTGAACATTTCTATTCAACAGCCTGATTATTTATTTTTTCCATTGTAAATCACTTTTTTTTTTTTTTTTTTTTTTTTGCCTAGATGCCCAAAAGACATCTTTTTCTCAATTCTAGTAATTTTTCTAGAGTATGTTTTGATATTGGTTGGGGTGGGTCAGTATTCTCAGTTGTGTGGTATACTCTTTCAAAATATAATTTCACATCTTTCTGGTTTCCAGAGAAGTTCTTTTGAAGTACAGTTTCTAGAATATTTTTGTCCCCTTTCTTTGTATTTCTTCTTCAAAACTGCTATTATCTGTATATTTACCCTGTACAGCCTATTTTAAATAGGTCTTTTCCTCTTGGTTATTTTCACTTTTTTTCTTTACTTTTTTACCCCCTCTACTTCTAAATATTATGATTTAATATCTGGAGCGAGAATGGAGCTCATAATAAGAGCCCTACCACACATACAGCTATAGATGTAGATAGAGAGACATATATATATATAGATAGATAGATAGATAGATAGATAGATAGATATAGAGTGATATAATAGACATACATATCCACTTTACTAAGATATAATTCACATACAATAAAATTCGTCCTTTCAGAGTGTACAGTTCAGAGGTTTTTAGTATAGTCACAGTTTTAAAAGTATCCCATTATCTAATTTTAGAGCATTTCCATTGCCCTCACCCCCAAAATAACCTCTCCCTATTTCTTTGTTTTTCCCTTTTTTTTC